AATACAAAAATGAAGTGGAAAATCAATTGAATCTAAAGATAAAAATGATTCGAAGTGATAGGGGTGGAGAATACGAATTTCCTTTTGCTGAGATATGTTTGGAATATGGTATTATCCATCAAACTACTGCACCCTATACACCACAGTCAAATGGTTTGGCTGAACGGAACAACAGAACATTAAAGGAAATGATGAATGCCTTAATAATTAGTTCTAGTTCACCAAGAAATCTATGGGGAGAAGTCATCCTTACGGCTAAAAAGATACTCAATAGGGTACCCCGTAGCAAAACGCAATTGATTCCATATGAGTTATGGAAAGGAAGGAAACCCAACTTGAAATACTTCAAAGTGTAGGGGTGTATTGCCAAGGTAGAAGTTCATTTACCTAAGAGGGTGAAAATTGGACCCAAAACAGTGGACTGTGTATTTATTGGATATGTTGTGAACAGTAAGGCCTGCCGGTTTTTGGTTCACAAATCTAATAATCCTGAAACTCATGTGAATACGATAATTGAGTCAGATAACGCTGAGTTCTTTGAACACATTTATCCGTATAAAACTAAATGTGAGTCGACAAGTGAAATATCTAAACGACCACGGGAAGAATCAAAGGAAAATGCACAACCTAATGAAGATCCTAGGCGTAGTACTCGCCAACGAAAATTCACTTCTTTCGGACCAGATTTTGTGGCATTCTTGCTTGAAAATGAGCCTCCAACATTTAAAGCAGCTATGTCGTTATCTGAGTCAATCTATTGGTAAGAAGCAGTTAATAGTGAGATCGAATCAATTTTAAGTAATCATACTTGGGAATTGGCTAATCTTCCTCCAGGAAATAAACCTTTAGGATCAAAGTGGATCTTTAAAAGGAAAATGAAAGCCGATGGGACTATTGACAAATATAAGGCTAGACTTGTAGTCAAAGGATATAGACAAAAGGAAGGTCTGGACTACTTTGATACATACTCTCCAGTAACAAGGATAACATCAATTAGAATGTTAATAGCACTAGCGGCAGTGCATGATCTTAAAATCCACCAAATGGATGTAAAGACAAGCTTCTTAAATGGAGAGTTGGAGGAAGAAATTTACATGGAACAACCTGAAGGGTTTGTGGTTCCTGGTAAAGAAGAGAAAGTGTTCTGACTTGTGAAGTCACTTTATGGGCTCAAGCAAACACCCAAACAATGGCATGCTAAATTTGACCAAACAATGTTGGCAAATGGATTCAAGATTAACGAATGTGATAAGTGTGTTTACATTAAAAACGTTCTGAATCATGAAGTCATTGTTTGTTTGTATGTTGATGACATGTTAATAATTAGTAAAGACATTGACAATATAAATGCTACTAAGCGCATGCTGTCCAACAAGTTTGATATGAAGGACTTAGGAGTTGCTTATTTGATCTTAGGGATCAGAATTCTCAAAACTCCTCAGGGACTAGTATTATCTCAATCTCATTATATTGAAAAAATATTGGATAAGTTCAAGTACTTGAATTTCAATGTTGTCAAAACTCTAATTGATTTAAGCTTTACATTTCAAAAGAATGTAGGTGAAAGTGACTCTCAATTGGAATATGCCAGAGTGTTGGGAAGTTTGATTATATTATGAATTGTACGCGACCAGATATAGCATGTGCTATTAGCAAACTGATTCAGTTCACTAGTAATCCGAATCAAACTCACTGGATGGCAATGAAACGTGTGTTGGGTTATTTGAAACATACACAACACTATGCTTTGCATTATAATAAATATTCTGCCGTGATTGAAGGATATAGTGATGCAAATTGGATCACCGGGTCAAATGAAGTAAAATCCACAAGTGGTTATGTGTTTACACTTGGTGGAGGAGCAGTCTCTTGGAAATCATCCAAACAGACATGTAACGCTCGCTCCACAATGGAATCTGAATTCATTGCCTTAGATAAGGCCGGTGAAGAAGTTGAATGGCTCCGAAATTTCTTAGAAGATATTCTATTATGGCCCAAACCTGTGGGACCTATTTGCATACACTGTGATAGTCAAGGAGCAATAGGTAGGGCAGGGAGCATTATGTACAACGGGAAGTCTCGTCATATACGACGGAGACATAATACCGTAAGACAACTCCTCTCTAGTGGAATTATCACAATTGACTATGTGAAGTCAAGCGAAAATGTGTCAGATCCACTATCGAAAGGCCTAGTGAGAGAGGCAGTTGAAAGATCATCTAAGGGAATGGGTTTACGGCTTAGGACAAGTCAGCAGGGCGGTAACTCTATCTAGCAGACTGGAGATCCCAAAAGCTAGATTCAAGGAGAAAAACAAAGTTGTGACTGACGGTTCGACATTGTCAATCAACTCAATCCATTCTCATGATGAAGACAATGTTCAGGAACAAGGTTAAGACTTTAAGGCTTGTTAATGGGTTAATAAAGCTTAAAGTTTTTAATGATTTGCTAAGTTTGGCAGATTTGACCAAATAGTGTACCTTCGAGATGACACGGTTAGAAATCACATATGTGAGTGTGAAGTGTAAGCCGCTTCAAAGAGAATTTTATGTCAAAAGCCTATTCTTTATACACTCATGAAACCAGGAGGTGTTCATGGCTGAAACGAACACAACCGTAAGAACCATAAATGGTAAAGGATTAATTGTGTGACATATGGTTGTCTAGGTATACACCAAAGCTCAACGGTTCAAAGATATCGCATCTACCGATTGACCGAGTATATCCGACATATGTTCACTACGGAAAGTCCCAGGAGAAACCTACTTATCCAGATGCAATTGATTCTTGCTTGTAAAGTACACACTCGTTCGTGCATTCCTTATGTTATAAACATTCCCCATTAATGTGGGGGATTGTTGGGTATGTAGCAAGAGTTAATGGGAAATGGAGGAAAAATTTGGGAACTTGAAAAGTTGAGAACTTGAAAAGTCCTCTTATGCTTTATTGAAAAGACATTTGTCCCTCATCGGTGGTGGAAAGAAAAATAGGAGAGTTTAAATATAGAAACACTCCTATTAATTGTTAAAAGGGTTGGAAAGAGGGACCCCCCTCGCGCCGTTGTCGTCGTCACTCGCTCGGCTTTGGATTTGGATTTGGAAAAATGATCGATCGAGAGATTATTTTTTGGACAAAGTTTGTTTTAATTATTTTTAGTTAATTAATTATTTAATTAATTAAATTAAATTAAATGGCCAACGTTTTAATTAGTTAATTAATCGATTCAATTAATTAGTTAATTGACCCGACCCGACTCGAATCCACGCGCGACCCATTTTATTTAAATCTTTCCCGTTTTATTTAAATTTCCCCCCGTTGGAAGTGACTGTTCTGAAAGGTTGCAACTTTCAGAAGCAACCATGACCGTTTGAAAGGTTGCAAACTTTCATGAATGGTCGTGTGGATTCTAAAAGGATTGCAACCTTTCGGAACCAGTTTCTCTTGCCTATAAATACATTGATTCCTCAGACTTATTCCTTACGAATTTTCTGATTTCTTCTTCTTCTTCTGCACAAAATTTCTTCATGTACTTTACTGTTGTTGAGTGGTTCGCTGACACCAGAGTTTTAGGTATCAATACACTGGTGATTGAGATCATTCTATCCTGGGAGGACATATTCCAAATCAAACCTCGGATACTAGAGGGGAATAATTTCCTTAAGGGGACACTGCACATTCAGTGGGCTTGATCCTTTTTTTGATTCTGTTTTTCCAGATTGTGGTACGTTTTTTTTATAGATTTTAGTTTTGTCAATTAATTTCTGATCATCTATTCTTACTGGTTTATTAAACTTTGGTTACTTCATGTTTTTGCAAAGTTTATTGAAATCAGTAATTCTGATTTTTTAAACACAGATTGCTAACAATCTTACTCCGATTGTTGTTCAAATATCTTCACCTACCCTCCAATAGTTTTTTTAATGTCACAAAATAGCTATCCGTCTCAAAGAAAATATAATATAATATATGTTATTTTCACTTATGTTCATTTCTATGTATTAAATTTTCTTAATGAAAATTCTGAGTTTACCACCTGCCGCTATGTAAAAGAGAAGAGACCTAGGGTGCAGTAGTAGTGGACCCAGAATTTTCACGAAGTGGGTTCAATATATAAAATAAAATAAACAATGTTGCAAGCAAGAATCGAACTCAGGTTGGATGGACAAAAAGAACCCTCTTCTCCGCTAGGCAAAGCATCACATTTGTGCAAAATGGAGTCAAAAATGTAATATATAACGAAGTGGTTTCATATGAACCCACTTGACCAACTGTAGGTCCGCCCTTGGTGGTGGAGCCAGACATTTACGAAGGGTGTGCAAAATTTAAACAAGCAACTAACAAAAAAATTTAGTGAGTGAGTTCACATCTATTTTCCTCAATCTAACGAATTTATCATCGATCAAGAACGGCGTCAATAATTTTTGTTTTCCACCAAATACAATCCATATAATTTTTTATCTTCAGTTTGGATTGCTTTTGGTTATAAAAAAAAACACGGTAAATTGTATAGACTGAAACAATAGTTTTTTAATGGATGAGTCAACATTTTTATTAACGCATATCACACATTAAACAAAAGTAACACTAATTTATCGATTTCTACTTTAATCTAAAGTTATTTATAGTGTTAATTACCTTGATACACATAAAAAATGACCTTATATCCTGAGAATGCAACTTTTAAAGGCTATAATTTTCTTTATTTAGACCTATTGGTCACAACTGTTTCTATTGTCCGAAAAAATCATGCCTACTATATAAGCACATAATGCACGTTCAACAATTTTATAGTTTATTTAGTCAATTATTTAAGAAGCTAAAAGTACTTTGTTATAAAATAAACCTTGCACTATAGGAGTACTATATTTTTGTTTTTAATAATTAGATATTTAGAAGTAATTTTAGATTGAGGTGAACACAATCTCTCCGATGAAGAATCCTTGAATCCTCTTGCCCCACCGGATACAGGAGACACGAAAGAAATTCTGGGAAATCACTCTATGGAGGAAGATTTGCTTACAAAAACAAGAAAGGCAGTGTCGTTCAAGGACATCCTTACTGCACCATACTCCAATATAGGAGAAAAACAACAAACACAATATGAGGACCAAGCAGTCGATATGATCATGGAAGAACGTACAAGCTCAATTCAAAATATCGACGACGAAGAAGGGATCTATCTCACTGAAGCAGAACAACAGAGAATATACAAGCCATGGATATACTCTATTATAATAAAGATTATCGGACGGAAACTAAACCACCAATATCTGAAAAAGAAACTAAGTACTATGTGGAGAGTCTCTGAGGAAATCGTACTTATAGATCTGGGTTATGACTACTACATAGTAAAAATTTTCAAAGAAGAAAATCTACAAAAAACCTTACAGCAAGGACCGTGGTTTGTAAATGGATTTTTTCTATCAATCAAGAGATGGCATCCAAACTTTTTCGCATCGGAAGCTAAGGAAACAAAGTCGGCAATCTGGATTAGGCTACCAGAATTACCCACTGAATTCTATGACCACTCCATACTAGCACGAATAGGGAAGAAACTTGGGAAACTAGTTAAAATGGATGTATGCACCTCAGAAGCACTCAGAGGAAGATACGCAAGAATATGTGTGGAAGTACTTATCGACGTTCCGGTACGAAAATATATATGCATTGGGCATTATAAACAGCCTCTCCAATATGAAGGTTTGAACATATTATGCTCCAAATGTGGGGTTCTTGGGCACACAAACCAAATATGCCCCAAAAATATACCAAATACAAGAAGTCCCACTAACGGGGAAGAGGATGAGACGGCAAGGAAAAAACCACAAGAACAGGGGAGAGATTTAACAACTAAGGAGGAGGCATGGCAACTGGTTTCCTTCGAAAAAAGAGCAAGCAATACACAAAAATAAGACAGGACTCAAGATCGGAGCAAGCAGACGCAGAACGAAAATGGGACCATCAATATAGGGAGCGAAGGCACAACCAAATATCGGAAGACGCAGCGGATATAGTCCAAAAGCGCAATAACAACTCAGTCAACGCAGGTATTCATGTCAAACTATTTCATGCTGAATCAGGTAAGTAGCTCGAATCAAAGATTCTACAATACAAAAAAACAACTAAATCAAACAATATTAGCACAAATGAATCCTTCCAAAGAGCCCCCGACCAACTAATACAGAGCACTCAAATCACTAGCCGAAATTTGTCAAACCAAATTAATGCCAACTTCACCTCGAGCTCCGCCGTCACTTTGAGTGACGTCACTCACCACATCACCAAATCAATATCACAGGAAGTTGAAAAGTCGGCCACTGTTCACAGTACCCCTAATATGACCCCTAACTTGACCCCTACAAAAGATATACAAGATACACCTCCATATCCCTTGGAAGTGGAGACAATAGACACATCAGCCATAAATTTAATACCCACATATCCCAAAATAGACCTTTTAGGGACTACGACATCAAATGAGGATCACTTATCCTCTAATAGTGCCTTGCTGGCACCATTAAATAACAATCACCAAGGAAATTACAATAAAAACTTTATTAAGAAAAACCTATCTACCGCGACTTTTCCAAAAAATAGCCCACATTACAACAATTTGGAAAGTGCAGACTTTACACTAATACACAACAATAACTCCCCATTATATATTCCTAGTACTAGCCCCCTTACCCAAAGTAGAAAACACACTACAAATAATATCACTATCCCTATTAGCTCTATCTATATCGATATAACAGATTCCCTAGAAAATGCCAAGAATTCCACTATCTTCTCAAAGGAGAAGGACTATTCTGAGGAGATTACCACACTCCCAAAACTCCAGGAACACTCGAGCAAACTCCCCAATCATGAACCAACAAAATCCTACTCCCAAACCATACTCCACACTCATGGCTGGAAATGAGCTTGCAGGGACAAGCTCTGTCATTCAGTGCAGTGGTGGAGGGGAGGCAAGTATTAGTTCTAGTACAAAACCCGACTTTTCTAGCCCAAGTAGTCTCGGAGGGAATGAGAATTGCCATGGAAACATACAACAACCACTTATGGCTGTCAATAGTTCTCTAACCACCACTAAGCTTCCCATTCCCCCAGATCCCCTTCTACCATTATCCATCATGGGAAATGCCCCTGTTCAACCCACTAAATGTGACTCAGACTGTGGAACCCCTAATCTTCCCACCATTCTTCTTCCCACACCAGATTCCAGAGATACCAGAATCACTAGTGCATCCATGGAACTTTCAGGAGACAGCACAGACTTACCACAGGGGTCAGGACAATGCGAGGGAGAACTCTCCCCAAGTAGTTCCAGACATTGGGACCTCCAACCCTCAGGTACTACCTCATCACATCATCCCCCCCTTATCCCCATTAGCAATGACCAGAGGAGAACATGTAGACGTTCGAGAAGTAGAGGAAGCGATAGCATTAATGAGGGAAACACGAATGGAAATAGGATTCTTAAAAGAAATAAAAATTATAATATTCAAAGAGAGATTCGGAAAAAAACACATACTCATTTGTCCACCGCATCTATTAAAAAGCTCCATAGACATTCGTGCTCCAAGGAACCCAGGAGTAGGGAACTTTGTAGTTATATTGAACCCATACCTAGCAACATTGAACCCTCTAAGAATGGAGAGTGAGATGACAGAGAATGGAACGAATCAGACCAACAGAACCATGAATATAATAATTTGGAATTGTAGAGGGTGTAACGGAGATGACTTTAGGAGGAACTTTAGATCATTAATAGACTGGCATAAGCCCCCCTTAGTTGCACTGGTAGAAACAAAAATGCAAGATCACCAACCACTACTAGATAATTTTCCTTATACAAATATGATACAAGTTCCATCAATTGGAAGCTCGGGAGGGCTGGCAATTCTTTGGGATGACACTGTTTTTGAGCTAGAAGAAATATCTATGTCAGGTCAGGAAATTCATGCAATGGTGAAGGTACGTTTGACAAACAACTCTTGGCTTTTTAGTGTTATTTATGCAAGTACATTTAGAAATTCAAGAAGAATACTATGGCAAAATCTAAACACAATAAAGGATAACTTCTATGGTAGCTGGCTTTTAGGAGGGGACTTTAACGAACTTCTAAGTGTAGCAGACAAGTGTGGGGGTAGACCAGTACATAATAATCGTACAAAAGACCTGTGGGAAACTATAAATCACTGTGAACTAATTGACATGGGATTTAAGGGAAGCCGATACACGTGGTTAAATAAACGATTTAAAAACAAATCACAACTCATTTTTGAAAGGCTGGATCGTTTCTTTGCAAACGACAACTGGCTTCATAAATATCCTAATGCCCAGGTACAACACCTACCCCGGACCCATTCTGACCATTGACCCCTCCTCTTATCCTTGGTCCCACCTTCAAATCACAATCGAAAAAGAATTTTTAGATTTGAAACTATGTGGACATCACACCCTGATCTCATAAAAATCATCACTGATTCTTGGACAAGTCAAAGTAACATCTTAGATGCGATTCCCACTTTCCAAAAAAATGTCTCATAATGGAATCAAGTCACCTTTGGGAATATATTCCACAAAAAAAGAAATCTTATTAAAAGAATTGAAGGAATCCAAAATTCCCCAAAATATGCTTATAACTCTTTTTTAAGAAATTTAGAAAACGAACTCATCCAAGAATACAACTACATCCTCCGTGTAGAGGAAGAATTCTGGAAACTTAATTCTAGAGTAAATTGGTTGAATGAAGGGGATGCAAACACTAGGTTTTTCCATACCACACACTAAACAGAAGACATAGGAACAAAATCTTAGGTCTACAAACTACAGAAGGAGAATGGATCTATAATCAAGGGCAAATAGAAATTATAACTCAAGATTTCTTCAAAGAACTGTTCAGCTCCAATAAACTATCCTCAAGATTGACAAATTCAGAACTTGAAGCCTCAGATAACCACGTTGACCTCACCTATCTAGACGTAATCCCTACTAAGGAAGAAGTAAAGAAGACTGTAGATTCTTTCCAACCTTTTAAAGCTTCAGGCCCAGATGGATTACACCCTTTTTTTAACCAAAAATATTAGGAAGTTGTAGGGAATTCTGTCACCGCTCTATGCCAAGAAGCTTTCACTCAAGGAAAGATACCGGTAGACATAAATAAAACTCATGTCTGCCTAATCCCAAAAAACAAAAATGCAAACAACCTAAGAGACTTTAGGCCAATCAGCTTATGTAATACTACTTATAAAATTATAACAAAAATAATAACCCAACACCTCAGACTAGTAATGCATAAGTTAATTGGCCCCTATCAAGCTAGCTTCTTAAAGAATAGGCAAGCATTAGATAATGCAATAATCATCCAAGAAATAATAACACACTTCAGAAAAATGAAGGGGAAAAAAGCAAACCTCATTCTCAAAGTAGATCTCAAAAAAGATTTTGACAAAATGGAGTGGGCGTTTATTAGGGAAACCTTATTCTACTTTAATTTCCCAATAAATACAATAAACCTAATAATGTCATGTATCTCCACAAGTGAAGTATCTATTCTTCTAAATGGTTCAAAAACTGAATATTTTGAACCATCTAGAGGAATAAGACAGGGAGACCCTATGTCACCTTACCTGTTTATTCTATGCTTGGAAGTCCTATCGAGAAAAATCGAGCAGGAGGTCCAATTGAAACATTGGACTCCTATCAAAATTTTAGTCAAAGGACCAAAAATATCACACCTCTTTTTTGCCGACGACCTGGTCCTGATGAGCAAAGCAGACAAAGGAACCTGCGAAACCATCAAACGTGTTATGGACACCTTCTGTGATTCCTCAGGCCAGACGATAAATACAAAAAAATCAAAATTTATTTTTTCAAAGAACACTCCAGTAAATCTAAACAAATGGATCACCAAAACATTAAAAATCAAGAACGGAAATATATTTGGGAAATACCTGGGGTTCCCAATCACACAAAAGAGAATCACAAGTCATGACTACCAGTTTATAATAGATAACATGCAATCAAAACTGGCAGGATGGAAAACAAAATTTCTCAACATGGCAGGAAGAACAACTCTACCAAAAGCTTGCCTAAGCAATATACCAACCCACATAATGCAAACCACAAAACTCCCAAGTAACATCATTAAAAAAATAGACCAACTCCAGCGAAACTTTATCTTGGGTACAACAAGTGAAAAAAAGAAACTCCATATGGTGAAATGGGATATCATCACATCAATAAAAGCAAAAGGGGGGCTGGGAATGCAAAGAGCAAAAACAAGGAACTTAGCTCTTCTAACTAAGCTAGCCTGGAGAGCTTTCAAGAGCCCAGAAACTCTATGGGCCCAAATACTTACCAAAAAATATAACAGAAAAGGCACACTCAATATTGAAAGCCATGCCAGGCCCTCTCATAGCATAACATGGAAAAATCTAATGATAGGGTGGGATATATGCATTAAAGGCATGGAGATAGTATTAGGAAATGGCAAGACAACATCATTCTGGTTCGACAAGTGGCTACCAAATGGAAAATCTATGAGGGAATAAATACATGGACCACTAATGAAAGAAGAATACGGACTTCGAGTAGGAGACATATACCATACATTAGGAAAAGGCACTCAACCACTAATATCAGTCGAATTACCAAAACAAATATCGTTACTAGTACAGAGTACCTACATAAATCCTACATCAAATTTATCGGATACGACTATTTGGAAACCAAACTCAAAAGGAATTCTGACTACATCCTCTGTTTATAGGTTCTTACAGGTAAATAAACAGGAAGATCAACAAAACATTAGCAATCCTAGTTGGATATGGTCACTCAAATGTCCAAATAAGATTAAATTTTTCCTTTGGCTTTGTCACCATAACAGATTACCAACTAAAAGCTA